CGCCATTTGCAGCCTTTGTACCGCGCAGGTGGTGCCCTGGGGATATAAATGAGATTGTAGAGCGCATGTTGCCGAATCGTCTAGTCGCTAAATCTCACAAACATCCTCATAGAGTTTCTGGTGAAAAAAGGCTACAATAAATTTCCATTGAATGGCTATTAAGTTGAAGAACAAAATTCAAAAAGCCACAATTTAAACTTCCCGTCTTTCTTTTCCTTTCTTTTTTAAATGTCATTGAAGTTCAATGTTTTTACGTATTTGACTGGAGGTAATTATTAGTTATTTCATTCGTATTTGTTTTGACAGATGCCTCCATGCCACTAAGGCACCTGCCTGATTCTCAACGAAGCGCGAAATCAGAAGCAATGGCGCAACCTGGGTGGGCATTTAGGGTAGCTTTCTTTTCACCTTGTCTCTACCCCCTCCCCCACAATCATGGGTGTCTGACTTAAAGACCAGCGGGGCAGAGAGCGAAACACGATACGCGAGCGTGGAGCGCGACCACGAGCGCGAAGCGCGAATCGATTTGAAGGGGGCCGCATAAAATTTGGTTTCAGTGTGGCGTCACGACGGCCATGTTAAGGTGGCTCCATAAGGTAATCATTTACGGCGTTGCGCGCCGAAGCGTTATGTTTTGAATGCCGTTTTTGCATTCGTTTTCACACCCAGTCCTCTCAAACTTATTACGTGTAATAAGCAATGATTAAATAATGTCTTACTACAATCTCTGTTAAAATTATGGGTTTTAGTCTTGAATTATAAAAGCCCGAACAAATGTGTTTTTTACTTTTTTATGGCTTTATTTGTGATTTTCTTGAATTTCCCTCGGTGGACTCTTCCAAAATTTTCACAGCATAACGCATCCTGCGGGATACGAATTTTAAACACGAAAAAAAAGTAGGGTTTGTAAAGGCAGGTTTTTCGATTTTTGCAAATTTATGTCTAAACAGACAGATTTCCCTGAAAAACGAGCTCCGACTTAAGTAAAACATTTACTAACAGTCTGCCAAGTCTTACGGAATTTCACGTTAGGAAACGCGAAAAAATTCACTGTCAGTTTTGCTCTTTCTGCTCATGTTGACATCATGAGAATATCGAAAAACACTGATGTTTTCCTTCGAGTGCGCGCAGATTACTTGAGCTTTCGTCCTCAGCGCGTGCGATCGTAAAACTATAGGGAGTCTTTATCAAACAATGACGATTATTTGAAATGAGTTTTGCTTTAAAACACCATGAATTAAAGTATGTCGAAAAGCGAATGTACTAGATGATGAACAACTACAAAATTTGATCAGACTTGAAAGCCTTAATTTTCTCAACTTCCGAAGGCTGCAAATTAAAGCTCTGAAAACTTTATCGGAAAATATTAATATTCCCCTTTTTGTTGGCAATTGCCCATATTAGGAAAAAATCTTGTATCCCGAGGCAAACCAAGCATGTTTGTGTTCTCAGAAGCTCAGCACGACTGAACAATCATAAACAGATTGATGTTTACAAGAACCATTTAGTCGACGCATTGTTCACCAAAAAGTGATACAGGTGATACAACAACGCTACCTGTTGGGCGGAGACAATTAGCGTTATTAGCATTAGCAGCAATTTTGTTTCTTAACAAACACTTAACGACTGGCCCCAAGAAAAACAGCGAGTTTTGTTTCCCCGAGACCCTCAGTGTTTCCCGAGTCGAAGCACAGGGGGATATTAAGGTCGAGGGGAAACAAAACTCACTGTTTTCCGTAGGGCCAGTCATTAAGTGTTTTGTTACACCTCCCAACTCAAAAATAGGAAAAAAACTGCGAAAAAAGTATTTGTTTGACACCAGCTAGAATAACAAATTTGCCGCGGTTTCAAGCTACACGACGATTACGTGCAAGTCGAAAGTTCAAGCTGTTGTTTCCCTAGGGAGTTAGTGAGTTTTGACCCACGACACGTGACACGTTCTCTTGCAATCGGAAAATGTATTTTAATTGGGAGGCATAGCAATGGATCGGATGTTATTTTAAATCCGACTGTTTTGTTTTTGATAAATGTGCTTCAAACACTCTTAGTTGAAAATTCTTCCAAAACCGCAAGAAAAATAAAAAGCAGTGAGAATTGTATTGCTTCTGGCGGAACAAAATAATTTAAGATTGAGTTCAGCTCAAATATCGTACAAGGTTCACTTTGCATGGACACCTTTTATTGCTTTCATTGCCGGAGGCGGACACTCTTGACCAAATTTAACACTGCTACATCGCCACTACAAAAGTCCCAAAACCATATAGTGATCGTGCCTTAAGCGATTTTCACATCTAGAAGTAAAAGTCCCCAGACCCAGGCTCCTGAGTTGGCAGTGGAGGACGAACACACTTGAAGCGCTTGTGATTATGAGGATGCCTTTCCTCTTTAGAGCCTGGACGACGGGATCGTTCACACACAAGCCCAGGCTTACAACCATGATGACAGAGGAACTGTAATAAAGTAAAAACGCAAGTGTACAGGTCACGGACGAATGTGACTTACTTTACTGTATTCTTCTTCCTTTTTGGGGGTATTAATCATAACAATTACGATTTCCTCAAACGTGATCGGTGCATAAACTGCTGTATTTTTCTGTAATTAATCTGCAAAGTTGTAATCGGACAGTGTAATCAAACAGGTGGCTGTAATCGGACACCTATAATCAGGAAGCACCTTTGATTCAACCCAAACGTTTTGAGGTGTAGTAAAGAGATGTTGTAATTAGCACCCGTTGTGCTCGGTATTTTTTTTCTCTTGTTTGGCGGGAAAAGATGTATCTTGAACACTTACTGCGGGCGGGTTCCTGCGGCAAGGCTGGCCCAGTCCTTTCTGAGGAAAACACTTGTACCAATACCAGAATATCCTGCAGCATTCTCCGGCTTTACACTTCTTCTTGCACTGTGACACAGGTAAAAAAATGTTTCACTAAGTATACAGTATTTATTCGATTAAGAACCCAACCTCAAGCAAGCGCCTACCTCGAATAAGCGCCCACCCTGAAAGTCCAAAAATTAAATAAGCGCTCTGGGCGCTTAATCGAATAAATACGGTATATTCTTCACGAATCAATGTCTCAAATCTTCAAATTCGTTCGAAAATATTCATGAAATCAGCCGAACGGAACGCAACATAGGCAATGTTCGTTGAATTGTTTGGAACACTTAACAACTGAAGCAGAGCAGCGGAGATCGCGATCGAAAGCCGGAATTTCTTCCAGTGGTCTTGGTTTATGAAATTAATTGTTTTATAAAACTTGTGCTTACATCAACAATACATGAATTCGGTGAAAGTTATTGCAATATATTTATGATTTTCTAGCCCATGCATGCAGTAACCTATATTTTTTCTTGTTACTAAGAAATGAAGCAAAGGAGGGGTGTTACTTGATTTGTTTAAAATTCAACCTTTTTCTTTCAAATTCAAGGTTTTCGTTTCTCTTGCACGTTCATTTATTTCGCAATTCTACACATTAATATATTAAAGATTTGAAACACAACGGAACTCCACCTATGTTATGACCGAGTCAACTCCACCACTTCGTTTTAAAGACCTTTTCTTCTGTCTCCGAAGGAAAGTTCAGTCAGGTATATTCTTATTTACTGGTTCACCGTTTATGTTGCTAGAATTTTTGGCATGTGAGAGCCAGTTTTCAGTTTTCCCTCTACTTGCTATTCGAGAGAAGTAACTCCTTCTTTGTCAGTGAAAACAAGCTCACCTTGCGCGGAATATGACGACTGTCGTGTTCTTGATCTCCAAATGATACAACTTCCAAGATCAACGCCAGCAAAATAACAAACAACAGGGTGAGTTTCATGTTGCTCAAACTGTACAAGCTGAGTACAGATCGAATTTAAGTTCGAACAACATTATTTATCAGTGTTTAACAGAAACCTGTTCAAATGCAACCTAAACAAATCACTTGTTTGCAGGCTACAAACAAGCATTGAAAGAAATATAATTTAAAGAAAAAAGATTTAAACAGTGTCAAATTTATCATTTCATTGTAAACAAGAAATTAAACTCCCATTTAAAAAAATTTGAATAGATCCGGGATTGAGAGAAAAAGGACTCTTAAACTGTTGATACATTCATTTTCTTTAGTTTGTCACGTGCTTTTTTTCTGTCATACACTCTTTCATGTTTTATATAAAGGTCTTTTATCAGCTGATGGTTGAGCACAAAAGTCAACTAGTGAATTTAAACTAGTCTTATTAGCTTTTACAGGAAAAGAACTAATATCTAATATCAGGTTTGTGGATTCAAGGGTTAGTCTCGCATTTGATTGGTTAACGACTCTGAATTCATTCTGAATTTTGCCCCCAGGTCGGTGATAAGGATGTAAAATGTTGTTCTTTTAACGATTGTTTCTTACATAAGGATTGAAACATCCATCTCTTGGCGTTTCTTATGGTTTTTAAATTGAGTATGTTTATTTGAATACACGTATTGGCACGAGGAAAACGTGTTTTTCGTATCTGGATCTTCTCACTCCTTGGAACATTGGGAACATCTGAATACAAGACTAAGGAAACGTTTTTGATGGTCTAGTTAGCATGCGGAAACGGTTCATGCTTGCCCATGCCCAAGCGCGCGAAGCCGCGAGAAGGACTGCCCGAGCGTGGCCTCGTCCTCGACACCTCGCCACTGGCTTGTTTGCGGTCGACAATGCAAACTTATTACACCATATTTTTGGTGTCACTGATATACAATTTTGTAAGAAACGGAACCATAATTATTAAAATTACTTTACCTGGCAGTATAAATAAGATGTAGCAAGAAGAAAATGCTTTCGATTATACGAAGTAGACTTTTAGTTCTATAGCTTGTGTTAAGTAAGAGCGAGATTAGCATAACTAAAGTAAAGCGCATGTACCTAAAACTACAAGAATCAACCCATCATTTGTTGCCAATCCAAATTTCGACTGCGCCTGTACCTAAACAAGAACGAAGCGTATCAGCTGCTAAAACAATAACAGCTAATATGTGGAAATCATGTCTAAACAAATAAGATTGTCATCGGTAGGTTTAGTATATCAATGAGTATTTGCTTTTAGAGCGAAAAAAAGAAATGAGAACAGGTAACAAAGATGGTCCTTGAAAGATGTTTTCTCCACCCAAATCAGTTAACGTTCTTGTCGTTGTTTTCAATCAGTTCATATATTCTAAGGGCACCGGTACCATTCCAAAAAAATCATGACCTCGCATCGTTTCAGTTAATTTTAGATATCAAAACACAATTAAGTCAGTCAATTGTTTCTGAATCAAAAAACATTAGCAATATTGTCATTGTTGTTCCGTAAATGTAATGTCGTAGTGATTCGATTTAGCATCCGGGGTGCTTAGCTTATTTTGAGGGCTAACGGTGGTGCGCCTATTAGGGATGGGGTGCTTTTACTTTACTGATTGAGCACTCAACTGTGTAAAACGAAAGAGAATCTCTCGTTTGAAGGAATAGTGCAGCTCTCTTGTGAAAATAGCAATCAGGACAACTGCTTTGTAATGCGGGTATGATTTAAGCTATGCAGAAGGAAAATAAACCATGGACGGGTGATCTCAATGTACTCTGAAGAGTTGTAGTTGAAAAATTAGTTGGGTGGCTTATTAAGGGAGTTTATTGGTATAGGGAGCGCTAACTACGTTCAAAGGGGAGGGGGTTATACCTTTTTGAGGGAGGGAAGGAAGAAAGGGGGTGCTTATTGAAAGGAGGGCACTATGTTTTTATTTTATTTTTAGTTTTATTTTTATCCTGGCATCATCGGGCTCCAAAGAAGCGGGATTTTAATGTCTCAGGAAATCATATGAAAATTAGTGTGACGATTGACTTAGTAAGAACCGTCATTACAATATCATTGATTCAATTTTTGTTAAAACCAAAGAATTCTCACACGTTAAACTGACTCTTTCTTTATTGATCAAGCGGACAATATATTTCTCCATTCAAAAACCCAGCACTAATAATCCACAAAACAACCGAGATTTCAATGAACTGATTCACGCTCAGAAGTCGTCCATATCCCCGGACCCAGGCTCTTCGGTTGGCGGAAGAGGGCGCACGCATTTGCCGCGGTGATGCGGGTGAGGATGCCGAGGCCGGTGGGGGTGAGGAGGTTTTGCGCCTGGTGGACTCGGTGGACCTGATCGTCGACACTCCAGGCCATCTGCGCAACCGTAATGGCAGGAATATTTCGACTGTAATAGAATTATACAAAATTTACTCGTGAATAGCAGCATAGTTAATAGAGGGAAATGGCTGGGAAACCTGGCAAAGTTCTTTGTTGTACGTTTCTGTTGGCTATTTTGGGGGTTGACCCTGCATAAAATCTGGCAAAATACAAACGGTGGTTACATGTTTCCCACACAACTAACCAATGGAAGCATTGCGATTATGTAATTCATACAACGTCTAGTCAAAAGATATGTAGTGTCAAGGACCTTTCAACATAAATCAGCCCGTTTGTTTGCATCTTAGACGTTTACCGGCCTTCCTAACCATTTCCCTCTATTAACTGTGCTAGCAGCAAATGTTTCAAGTGGTCTGTAGCTACATTTTTGCCTCTGTTCTCTTATGCAGTTGAGTCGTCAGTTTCTCATTTTCAGGGTGGGTGCTATGACAAAGCTCATCTTGTCATGTTAAGTTTGCGCAATTAACTATTCGTACTAATTGATGCAACTTAACTGTTATTTCTCTTTCTATATTCAATTATCGTCATTTCCCTTTCTGTTAACTGTATTTATTTATTTTCCAATGCTGAATGAATAAATGGCAGTAGAAACGAAGCTAATTGCTGCTGTCGTTGCCGGTTTCATTCTAGGAAGGTTACTATTCTCTTTCAGATGAAATAATTTTTTTGCAATTTCTTGCCAACGGAGGCAGTTGAGTGTTTTTAAGTGGCGATGTTTGTTCGTGTATTGTTAATCTTCCTCCTTTCTATTTAAGTTTTAGCGCAGCTCTTAGGCCCCGTCTACACTACACGGAAGGAATTTGAAAACGGAGGTTTTACTCTAAAAACGAATCAAATGTTTTCCTTCACACTACCCCGGAGAAACTGATTTGAAAACGCAATAATCACCGGTCATTTTGGATTTGTGTATGCGGGAACTCAGTCTGAGGAAAATCACATAAGCTCCGTTTTCAAACCTTTTTCCGTCCACTAGAAAAGAAAAGCCGGCGTTTTTAAATTCCTCTGGTTTGAAGAGCGTTTTCGTGATGGGTTAGTGTGGACGGTAGGCCAAGCCGTAAAAAAAAGAAGCGTTTTCAAATTTCCCCGGCGTACCGTGGACGCCACCTTAGGAGTTAAAGCGTAAACAGGACAATGAGGCTATCACACTCACAGTCTTCTCAAGGCATCTCTCGTTCTCTTTTCTCTGAGCAAAACACCTGGACCTGTACCACCACCAGTGTCCATAAGTCCTGCAGCACTCTCCAGTGTTACAATCTTCATCTACCTTGCACTGTAATCAAGAGATAAAATGGTGCTCATCGAAGCAGGTTTTCACGAGCAAACATTCGTCAAGTCGAGATAACTAAATTAAAGGCATATTCCAAAATGAAAGGAATCAGAACTGACGCGCAACACTTTAATAGTTCAGCTGATCGCACGGTGGCCAATGTGTTCAGAAGCCCGTGAATTCTTTTCGCGCCGTTCTGTAAATGTTACCTTAAACGTGTTGCAAGCTTTCAGCGAGTGGAAGTAACTTTGGTAGACGTTATGTAAAAAAATTGTCGTTTTCAGCTTATCGTATTGTCGTATTGCATGGTTTATTTAACAGATGAAACAACTGCAGATTTGATTTCATAATGAAAAAATGCATTTGATCTTTGCCACAGCCTATCATTTAAGAACGTTCAATAGTGTACTTTAAAAAAATCAACCATGTTCCCTAAATTTTATAATTTCACGTTCTGAGAAATCCAGAACAAATTATTTTTTCCGAGACTTAAATTTTGTCAAAGTGTTTGTACTTTTTGGCTGATAAACTCATAGCTTACCTTACGTAAATGATGGCGGGATTCATTTTCTTCGTCCTCTTCATCTTCCACAAATTCATCCTCAACGAACGATTCAACTAAAAAAACCAGCGTCAGACAAACTCCAAAGACCAACGCAAGCCTCATATTGCAAGCACAGCAAGAAATTTTGTACGGTGTGGCTTAAACAAGACTTCGAGGGAGCTTCTTTAATAATTTTAATTAAAGCTGTTCTATCGCAAAGGTGACAGGAAGGAAAACAAATTATGTCGCTACTGCTGAAAAGTCAAGGTGATAAATTGATGGAGTGTCAAAATTAATTCAAATAGTGTCAATCATCCGTTAAGTTTATTTGAGTCAGTTAAAGCAACGAGCATGCAAAAAAGTGAATTATTGAAAAGAAAATAACATTGGCACGCTAAGAATTACTCTGAGGTCAGCGATGTTGAGAGAAAGCTGTCGTAAGATTGATCAGATATAAAGCTTATCCTCTAAATTTCAAACTGAATATTATATTTGCTTTTCATTTCTAAGGTTCTCGCCGATAAAAGGCCTTTAATCAGCTGAATAACAACCACAAAGTTTTTCTTGGGGATTAAAAACTATTTTAAGGCAACGCGAACACCTGAGGCAGATGATGGATTTCGTTGGTTTTTATCTTCATTTTGATTGGGTAATTAGGTCTGTTGCCATGGTGATGCCCCCGTATGTGGAACGCCTATGGCAATAAAATAAAAAATACATGCAAAAATGCATTATTTCTTTTCTTTGTTTGGTTTTTCAACAAGCATCTGGCGTGTCAAAGTCATTCAATAAAGTGAGTTTGTTTATTAAAGAGACTCCAGCAACAGATAAAAGATGCAATAGGATCGTTTTGAAAATTGGTCGAAGATTACGCTAATTTACGTTAATTTTGATAGTAATAAGGCGAATGAATCAATCACAGAGCAGTCTGGTCATTGAGCATCCTCCAATACATAGCATTGCTAACCTGTCTATCCCAACAACCCAACAGGGAGGAGCGGATTACAAATAGGAAGTGCCCTTGACTCTTGATCGAGCGGTCCTGGGCTGAGTCCTGGCCGGGGTTATTGTGTTGTGTTCTTAGTCAAGACACTTTACCCTCACCGTGCCTCTCTTCAACCAGGTTTATAAATGAGTAAGGACAATTTTGATGCTGGAGATATCCCTACGATGGACAAGCATGCTATCCCGGTGAAAGTAGAAATACTCCTAGTCGCTTCATGTGGAAATAAGCGCCGGCCTGATGGGCCACTAGGCTCATTTACAAACTTTATTTTTACCAACAACCCGACACTCAGCGCTCGAATTTGGATCACTTGATCCGGAATCCAACGGGATGACCCCTAGGGGACCCGTCCTAGCAATAGTCATATGAGATGCGTTTAGTAAACGCTTGGAGATACTACAAATTCTGGTGAAACCAGCCTTCTCAAAACGTTGGCAAGACTGTGATAGACAGTCCCCCCTGATCCCAGTAACCAGACGCTAATTCTTGACGTAATGATCTTATGATGCATGACGTCAGACTGACTCGCTCTCATGTTCTTGGCTATTTGCAATGGCCAAAGAGAGAGCATACCCATTCTACAGAATCTCCGCAAGGAAAAAGCCTGGCTCTTTTAAGACCAGGGTTTTGAGTTTTCAGTCTTTGTTTCCCTAAGTTACCTCGTTTAAGACTGCGGGGTCC